TCACAATTATGACCGACAACGGCCCAGACGAAATGAACAATAAACAAGAAACACGCAATTGTACGCAGACTCATGCGGAATTTAAAACACTTGCGCCGAGAACATTGCGGAACAGAAACCAACCCCCGATATCTCAACGATAAAAAAAACGACAAGATTTTTAATACCAAACAGGTTGACCTTTATGAGACCTAAGGGAAAATCGAAGTACCACGGTTTGGTCATCGGCCATCTTCACCGCATGCTTCATGATCATGTAAGGAAGTATATTGACGTCCCGCAGTGTGCCACGTGTTGCGCCTATAGTCACGCTTCGATGAAATGCGATAAATCGCCCCGCTCTGCTTAGTTTGCTAAAGGTCGTTTGCCTAGAGAATGTGCGGAAAATGATGGTTTGGCATTTGTGTGTCCGCTTTTGCAGCGAAAGCAAAGTTTACTCGCATTCGGCGTATGGCATACCATGGTGCTCGGCGCGAAGCATACAAAAGATGTTTCCCACCTAGAAAAAAGACAAAAATGCGCGGTTATGCATGTAGCACAGTTATGCAGCTAAAGCACGCAATGGATTTTTTAGTTGAATTCTTAGTTGAATTTTTTAGTTAACTGTGTTCCTAATAATTCAGGCCATAGCAAATTGACATAAAAACAAGCCTGTGCTGATAGACACAACTTTAGAAAGTTCAGGTTAACTGTTGAGCAATATGTGTTAATACAGGTATCTAGCTGTAAAGCAAATTTGCTTTATTCTTAAAGTGTTCTTTACCTATGTCATATGGAAAACGTGATGTGATCATCTTGTGATCACACGCTGCACGATCTAAGCGGACTTAGCATATAGGTCTATGACCGACGCTTATGTGACCCGGAATACCCGCTAGGTGTTCACGTCTACTTCCATCTATCTCTACCTGTATAAGCTCTGCACTGTTGTACCATCTGGACACACTGTACCATGTCATCTACATAGAGATCTCTAGTCATCTGTATGCATGCTAGCATTGTACCATCCGCGTACAGTCATCATGTACCATCAATAAAGACACAGCACGGTCAGTCTATCTGTCTTCTCTTCTATTACCAAAACCCATTATTACACCTACATGAATAGCATACCTACGTAAAACATGATGTGAGGCGGCGTCAAATTGATAAAATAAAACGAAGGAAAATCCGGGACTTGCGGTGCTTGCCGCAATTACAACCGCCCGGTACGGCAGCGTGTTGCGGTTTTGTCTTACAAATGTTCAAAAGTCCCATTCTTTTCTCTCTTGGTTTTCATTATGATGGGTATTTCTAAAGAATAAATTAAAAAACAATTAACGATATTGTTGGCTTTGGACTGCGCTGTCTGGAAGTTCCTAATTAAACGATTAATATGATGCTGAAGTTTGGAGCTGATTGGATCAGCGATACATGCAGCAAGATAAAAGCGTATACATGGATGGTCGCCAAAGATTACGCACCATTTCACGAGCTACTCTACTGTACTGTACGAGCGCGAACGGTACTTACAAATCAAGGTAAAAAGTGCCTAAAACTGTACTATTCATAAGATACGGGAGAGCTGTCACATTCATTCCTGTAAAAACACGTGCATCGCTGTTAAGAGCCTGTACAAAGCCGGGCTAACTCGCGGCCATTACCCTGAACCTCTGGCGCAGATACTCTGTTGCCCGTATCTGGTGTCGTGGTTACGCACGACTTTGTGTTACTACTTATTACCTTGACCAGCTCTCTACATGTACTATCTGTAATTAATTATTACAAAATCAGTTAATAAATATGCGAGCCACAGTTCCCGACAAACTGGCGTAAAGGGAGTTTCGAGTCTTGTGCTATTTTAATTTTAATAAGTAATATCAGGGGCGCTCGACACGCACTGTAAAAGTGTTCTGTAACTTACAGAGCGTTTTTGTTTAGCTTGTGTTTGGTGACTGCGCTCTAAAGTATGGATGTTCTGTATCTTAAAGGAACCCAGAGGGTTCCTTTAACTTACAGAACACTTTAAACTTCGAATCTGATGGCTGGTTTCTGTACACCAAAATCGCACTTTAACTTACAGAGCACTTTATCGTGCGTTTCGAGTGCCCCTATTAACAGTGGAGAAGAGGGAGTGGAAGAGGTGTTAGTATATTTCTCATCATTGGACTTTCCACGATGCCACCGTTGACGACGTCTAGCCTTGTCGGAAGAGAGAATCTGCCAATGCTGCTGCAATTTGACCCGGACACGATGACATGAAGATCGTGGAGCTTCCGGTTTTACAATTTTGTGAAGTTGCAGCAGATACCAGAAGCCGAAGAGAAGGAGCTGCTGCTGAACTCGCTGGGAGTCGCCCTGTTGGAGATGTTGTGCCCTCTGTGTTCCCAACAAGCCGGATACGTTCACAAGGGAAAACACTTATGGAGCTTACGGAAAAACAAGAGCCTATGGAAAATCTCGAACAGGCCCACGTAAAGAGGACACTAAAAAGTAAAAACAACGGAGTGGGCTAATTACATAAAGTCTACTTTTCGTTGCGGCAAGGCGTGGCGTTTTCCAATATCGAAAAACTGAACGTACAGGAGATTTTCCCTTGTCAATTATCTAATTTGGAAAAATGTTCAAGCTAGCGATATAATTCGATAGAATAGCTGGAGGAAAAAGCAGGAAAATGCTTGGATTTCAAAGTCAAAAAGAAATCTTCCTAACGGCCCAACTAAGATAGTAACAAAACCATATTACGTGATGCGTAATGCGTAATGGGCGGGGACGCTACATGCTGGGACACAGTAGCCGCATCGTATGTCCGGGCAAGTGCGAATGCTTCCGGTAGCGTTGCACACCTGGCCGAAGACAGTAAACGCCGCAAATAACGCCCACGTGGAAAGGATGGGTTACCTGTTTTTCCCCCTGGCAGTCGAAACCTTGGCACATTTGGTTCGGATTTTATGGAGCTCATCCGTTTCGCTGGCAGAAATATTCGCGACGTGACAGGAGAATCTCGTTCTACTGCATTTTTGAAGCAGAGATTTTAGTCTGGCTGTAGTGAAAGGAAATGCTGCTGCTGCTTTGGGCACCTTGAATATGCGTCCTAGGAGTTTTGACGGCGATAACGATATTAATTGCTGTTTTTTTAACGTTTAAATTAACGTTCTATCATTAACGTTCTATCATCGTTCTCGTTTTTAACGTTCTATCATTTTATGTAGTATTACGCCAGTGCCCTTTTTGTTACATTGATGGCCTTTGCCCAATAAAAGACGCGTAAAACAAGCCAAATTACAACCGTCCGCCCGCCCAGAGGGCCGGTTACGTTGCAAGTTGGATCGACTTTTAGCATTCACTCTTTAGCAGTAGCCAGTAGTAATATTTGCATTTTGCAGTTTCAACTGAAAATTCAACGTGCTTAAATTATTCAACGTCAATTATTTTAAATTTATTATTCAGCGCGGGCAATACTTTTTCTGAAAAGAATTGAATACAGATCTACAAGCAGCAGTTGCACAGTACACTTCAAACTGCAAACAGCGACCATAATCGGTTTTGATCCCACAGCAGATCTTGGAGCGCGCTTGCAAACTGCACCATGCTATTGTACGGAGACGACACGTCCGCGTGGACGTCCTGGTCGACGGCGGCCAACTGCAGCACGGGCGCGTCATCAACGTGGTGGAGGGCGGCCTGCTGATCGATTTCCAGTGTCCCGCGCAGCGCTCGCACTTCATCGCATACGGCCGCATCTTCCACCGCAGCCACGCCGTATACGAGCTGTCCTGGCGAGAGAACGTGCACGTCCTGGTGCTACTGCGTCGTCATCCCGACGGTGCCTGGATCTGGTATCCCGGTCGGATCCTGCCCCTGGCGGTGCATCATTATGGGAACGCGGAATGGGTGCAGGTGCAGCTGCCTCACGGCAGCGTCAAGGAGCTGGTCCGCAGCGTCCAGGTGCGTCCACCATCCGCGGGCGCCGAGTTGCAGAGGCATCTGGTAGGCGTAAGGGGACTTCGTCGTCCGTTCGTGTCCGCTTCCCGCCGCCTTCTGGGCAGAGGAGTCGCGAGTCCTCAGGCAGATCTTCCAGGAGGAACTCAACCAACGACGTAATGTCTGGTGCACATCGGTGCTCAGCCAGGCGCTCCTCTATCTGCAGAGTCGCAACGCGTTTCCTTACAGTTCAACCAGTGGTAAATCAAATAATATTGTTCTTGTTCAGATTAAATTCATGAACGATTTCGTAGATGCATCTTCTACGAAATGAAAGCGAAATTTAAAGCTAATTAATGCAATTAAGATTTTGTATTTAAAGCTAATATTTAATAATTAACTAAGATTTTAAATTAAGTAAATTTTTTATTTAAGACTTAGCTGAGATTTGATTGAAAACGATTTAATATTGATTTACAATGAAAGGAGAAAATCATCTAAAAATAAATTTTAAAAAATGACTGAAAATAAATAATTTATGTTTAAATATGCGGAAAGTGTTAAATATTTTTTTTCTGAATATTATATCAGTTCGATAATATGGTATTTTACCAACATATGGTATTTATTTATACTATGATATGGTATAATACTAGTGTATCAATAATTCGGTCCATTACCCTGATTTTAAATCAATATTTTTACCGTAGAAATGGTGATAATTAACCGTACTTTATGGAACATAAATAAAGTGTAGCTTGCCGCAGAAAGCTGCCTACGACGGGGCGCGGAAGGACATGGAGAGTGGTTACGTGTCTCTGACAGCACAACGAATACCTGTCGTACCCGGCGGATGCCGAGAGGAAAAGCGGAAGCGTCCTGCTCACGGAGGATTACCTTTGCCATTGCCCGTTGAGCTGCTGGTGGAAATCTTCCAGTCGCTGGACTCCGTCGGGCGCGTCCGCTGTCGGCGCGTCTGTTCACTGTGGAACACTCTCCTCACCACCGAAGCCTACTTCCCCGATGTCCATGTTTCCGCGCAGTGCTATGAGAAGCACACAGACGACATATACTGGTTGCTGGCGTGCCTGCTGAAATTCCCCGGCCCCGCCACCAAGATGATCATCCTAGTGGATGTGGGTTGGTACCACCTCCTGGGAGACTTGCAGACACTCATTCATGATGCAGGGAAGTCCTCCTGCACGCCGACGCTTGTGATCCACCAGTGCGATATCGCGGGTAATGGTGACTACATGGAAAAGGTCGTCATGCGCATGACGGACATGGTCATGGAGTTTGCCGTGTACGGGAGAATCCGCTGGAAGGAGTGCCGCGTCTATGGGCGCCTCGTACAGGCCGTCGTGTCGGAACACTTCTCGCCTGGTGAACTGGATAGAGAGGTGATGGAGACGAAGATGTGGGATCTGTTCGAACGCGATCTGGTCTTGCAGGAACCGCTGGAGGCGGCTGGCGCTGTCCGAATCATTTGCCGACTACATTGCTCACAAGCGAACGGCGGACTCGGACCAGCGGATTATCGAGGTAATTGGTTTTGTTTTTCCTCCTCACATTGACAGTGAAATTAGTCGGCTCGTGAATGCGTTTAGGCGCTCGACTATAGCCAGCGTGCGGATCCACGCAAGGCCGCGCAGTATCGCGACCGGGAGTGGACGATGGCCGATCTCGGCGAAGTGGATGTGAGCCAACTGAACACCGTCACGGCGGTAGTACTGCGCGCCATCCTCCATCCGGTCAGCTGAACATCGGCATTTTGTCAAGCGGAACGGATACCTTCGTTCTAACTGACTCGTAGACGTTGACGCTCACTCACGCGCTGTGTTTGGAATTGTTTGTTTTGAAGTGAATGTAGAATTACGTATTGATCTTTGGCTGTTGTTACGGGAAATGCTGCGGCTGCGTTATGCCTTCGGTGTTTTTATCTGACTGAAGAAGTGACCAGTACCACAGTAATCTACCATTCTACCCTACCGAGCTGACTCAACGACAGAGTATAAGCTAATAATCTCAGTATACGGCATAGCCGCATAGCTAAGTCTACGAATCCACGCGAGCGATCTGCATCTCCACCGATAAATTAATCAATTCCAACTCGAACGTGTTACCCAGCCAAAACGGATTTACAGTGCATCAACCGGGCGACTCTAAGTCTCTAACACATACCCAATTGTTACTTCTTTGACTTTTATTGGGCAATAGCCGCCAAGATAACAATGATTGCAAGCGCCGGTACACTACGTGAAAGTTAAAATTTAAACATTAAAAAAACAACCACAATCTCTATCTTCTCTTGGGTTAAAAGGTAACGTGCTCAAAACAGCCGTAGCATTTCCTTTTACAACGGCGAGACTAAAACGCTGCTTAATGAAAGCAGTAGAACGCGCTTCTCCAGTTAAGTCTCGAATTTTACGGCCCATGAAATGCAACAGTTCACTGAAAACGGGGCCAAATACTCCCAACGTTTCAATCACTAAAGGATAAAAAAAGCTTCCGTTTTCCACAAACGAATGTGTCCGGCGCATAGCATTTTCTGCGAGCTGAGCCACGTATCCAGCTTTCTTCGAGCTGCCGGTGACATGCGAGTCTGCGACCGTACACCAACTGGTTATATCCCACACCAGCGGTTTCCCTTGGCGGACAGGAATCAGCGTCATGCCGTCAGGCCTTTTTCCGTTCACACTCGATAAGCCGGTCGGTTCTAGCTGACAAGGAAAACCGGCGCTTTCGCAACAATTCTTAGCAGTACTGTTCATTTCTTTATGCCGCGCCCATCGTCCCTTGGTTGACTTATTGCAGGATAACCCGTGATGCCATTAGTTTCTACTTGCGTGCCGCACGCAATGTAGTTGTGCGCCACTACAACTGGCAATCCAAACCGCAACGCGACACCGATTCTGACCTCGTCGTCTCTAAGGAACGTTCCCAGACATGGAGCGGGCAACGCGTTCAACCATGCGCCAGAGTTTCTGTCAAGTGCAAGTCAAGTTACTTCTTTTATTTCAATAGCTGGATAACAATATCAAGGTCTAGTTACGATTACACAACATAACATTCTCAACAGTGCCAATCACAGAAGCAGCGTTACCACGTTGAATTGCTAAGGAAATATTCTGTTTCAAATACTCAAGACTACGAATCTCGCCGGTTTGTAACAAAACCCTCTTTCCAATCTCGTTAACAATCGTTTGCCTTATCGTTTGCCCCACTTGTTTGCCTTATCGTAAATCTAGTCGAGACTAGATTTACGACTCAGCTGTTTTATGTGTCACACACAAAATTAATATGTCATGTACATTGATGTAGGTATTTTGGCTGATGTGATATCGCATGGTACAGTGCAAAAAGTTGTTCACCATGGCAATACAAATTGATTAAGTAAGTAGTTACACTTTTTAATTGCATTCCATATACAGTGCTCCCCGTACGGCATCCAGTTATTCGGTTTTTCAACTTAAAAACATTCTTCACTGAGGGGAAAAATTCGCTTGATTTTGAACAGCAGCATATTTGGATCATCCTTTAACCTGCTTCCAAAAATGAAATTATTGCTGTGCTTCCGGAGAGAAGATAAAGTGGTTCACGTAACTGCACCTCCGTGGAGCAACTGTACCGGGCCTTAAGTTAATCAAAATGTACTGATACTGTATTTTGCCTGCGGAATATGAATCAGACAAGCCAATGGTCACTTCAGTCCTCGGTCGAAATTACAGTAGATTGACTACAACCTTTCGAAAAAGCTTCCGGCGGTCCGTAAGCGATGCCAGTTATCGCAACGTTATCACTAACGCTATCAGTTGGACGCCGCAACGTTATCGTTACGGCGTCCAACTGGCCGCAACTTCCGGAATATTTGCTGAACTCCGGTAGCAGGACTTGCTGCGATCATTGCTGCACAAACTGCTTTTGCAGTCAGTTGTAAAATCCAGTTGATTGATAAAATATGAGGCATCTGCACAAGCACAAACAAGGAATGCACAGGCATTCCCAGTCAGCCGAGAGGGTCAAACTAAAAAGACATCCCTGTAAATGTAGGTACAGTAATCAGACTGTACAATCGATCTGCAGTTCCAAATTTTAAGAAATAAGTCATCTGTGCGAAAGAAGAAGACTTCCAATGCGGATACCGGTAAATGGGTTCCAACAAAGAAGCGTTTGTTTGCGCGAAATTTGTACAAATACATTTGTCGCCCTGGCCGACTTCCACGCCAAATTCACGCCACACTTGCTGTCGAGTACAGTATCTGTAGTTGTTG